CGGAAATAAGCGCAAAGACTGCGGGGAGTTCATTTGGATCATTTCTGTTCCCCACATGAGCCAGGTCAGATGAGGTCATCGTTAAAAGTTGGCCCACCAGTAGCCTAAAAGAACGATACTTATCTTAAAAATATGTTTCTGCTACGTTCATTTTATTAGGTTCAGCTGTGGGAGAATTTTTTCAGGTACAAAAATATCATCTCATGGTCAAGTAGGGGTCATCTGACGTTAACTTAGGTCAGACTTACAAACCATCCAACTGAAAAAGTTAAAGTGCTAACCAGGTCTATGCGACCAGTACCATGTTTTCTTTTTTGTGGTCAGGAAGGGTATAATGGACATCTACAGTTCTTCAAGATGGCATAGCTATTGTTTACATTATAAGAAGTTCCTCCGAAGCTTAGTGATGCCTTTGTAACAAACTAAGAACAGGTAAATTGGTACATGAAATTAGACAATAGCTTCATAAACACGAAAAGGAAGTGGTTACACGCGTCGCACTGGTTCGTCTGGCCTCTCTGCTAATGGCAACATAGGTCACCGACCTGATGGGCCTCATATGACTTTGCACGACCTAATGTGACCTCAAAATGCATTATAATTTTATTGTGATGCGTTTTCATTGGAATACTTGAATTCTGCGCCTCAAATTACCTCTAAACTGCATATTTTGAGCTCGGCATGTGTTCTGCAGAAGGTATCCATAGAGAAAAGCCACAACATGGCTCAATGTCATGTGCTCTTTGGTTATTTGATGGCTGTGCACATAATTAAGCACTCTTTTCCTGACATGCAACACGAAAATTACCCCCAAATAGGCACAAACTTGCATTATTTATTATTTATGAAAAGTAGCGACAATTGATGTGACTTCAGGCTAACGACCTCGCATTTTCTGAGGAAATATAAAATATAAAAGCTGTAGTTACTATCATGTTCTATTACTACAACCAGTTTGAACGAAGGTAAATGACCCACAAAAAGTTATATGAGGTCAAAGTTTTTAAGATGTTGACCTCTTTCAGTGACCAGGTCTACTGAGATCAGTGACCAGGTCACTGATCTCGGTAGGTAAAAACTTGACATCTACACAACAAATACCAAATCAATTGATGAACGGATCCTAAAAATGTAGTGTCCCTGCAAGCATTCGCTTTTGACCTGTGTTCGAAAAAGTGTAAGGGGAAGTCAACTTCCCCTGGCCGGGTGCGGCTTAACACGCGCCGGGGTCGAGGGTCGAACTGACCCCCTGAGTTTTTCCGGAATGAGTTCCGAACGGTGCGGCGTTACCACGCCAAATTTTGCATAGCTGTGGACAATTGGATGGCGGGTCGCTTGGTATCAAAATCTACATGTACCTTGTAAGGTCGCTGACCTACGGCAGGTCAGAACTAGATCACGGACTCAGCGATGTCAATTTCTAGGGAATGTATCAATATGATGGAACAACGGAGTGTTAGACGAGGCGATACATCTCTTAGATAGATTCTTAGGTAACACAACAATTGAATGATCAAATTTCATTGACCTGGTGTCAGGTATGAACGTCAGGCCAACGTCAAAACCAAGCTGTTTTATTACTCCGGGGCTTGCTGTTTGAAGTAGTTTCTGGTGCTCATTTCGAATTCATTAATAACAGGAGCCGCATTAGACATCGTCCAAGGACTTCTCAAAGGTCAGAATAGGTCGCTCACCTAAAACGACCCGGGTCAATATTTTGTTTTTTAAGAACATACTGCCTAGGGTAAACCTTGTCGCCTATTTAAATGCAAAACCCAAAAGCAGTCTTCTATGATTTTGGTCACAATGACCTCGAAAGGTGGAACAAGGTCACTGGCCTTAACTGAGCATGTAACGTGTTGCTTAGAGCTGGTATCTACGTTTTGAGGGCACTTTGTAAACCAGCTTAGAGTTTAACCTTGTTTGACCTTGTTTGACCCGAAGGTCATGACCTAGGAACATCAAATTTGTCCTAAGTGAGTTTACGTACAGGCCAACACACCCTGTGCATTTGGTGTCTTTAGCCCTCATAGTTCTTAAGATTTCAGAGGGCCAAATTAACCCCCCACCCGAGCGAAGGGTATACAACAGGCCACCTGCACGTGTTAACCCATGTGTGAGCAGACTTATAGCTCATTGACCCCCCATTCCGGACGAGGAGGGCCAGTTCCCACTGCCCTCGTGTTTTTGTTGATGTCTCATAAATGATTTGGGGCAGTTCGTTGGCATTTTCTGGTCTTTTCCAACCATTCTTTCTACTTTTTGGGTCAAATTTTCAAGCACATGGTTCCCGCTTGACAGCTGCAGGGCCAGATAAAAAGTAGCAACAAACAGGCGGTTTCCGGGATCGAAAAAGAGAATCTCAAAACCATGTGAAATGCATCACGTCGTGAATGCCGGCACGTAAGGGATATTTTCCAATCTAGATACAAAGCAATGTTCTTCGGACAATATTTACACACAAATGATGCATGTGGTGAGTGTGTTCAAAGGCAGTGTTCAGCCTTTCAAAGCGATAACATTGTGCGCAAAGAAATATAACATCACACCTGTGTGAGCAAGACGGTAGTATGAATAGCTTACTAAGCAAGACATTTGCTAACGTGATGCTAAGGCAGGGGAAATAAACAATTTTTTACTCGCAGGGCACCTCCAAACTTGAGAGTAGGGGGCAAAATATGACCAGGGACATGCAAACCTAAAATGGAATTCCGCCTCCATCCGTCACTTCTGTCAAATAAGCCACTGGCTGTCAGCTGACGACGGCGGTCACGGGCCGCGCTCCAATCACAAGTCTCTACTCCCCTCCTTTGAAAAGCTGGTTACGTCTGTGGGACCTGTTCATATATCCGGCATGGCCACCATGCTTCATTTGCAGAGTGTAGTGGCAATTAGCTTACAGGGGTCGGCAATTAGCTCACTTGGCTTGCTCTTTTCACCACCACACTGGGGGTAAAACAGAAAAATGGCTTACAGGAACGGTCGATGGCTATCTCCAAGCCCGATTTGCTAAATCAAAAATGCGTACCATTTTGCAGTGATGTAGCTCCCAATAACGTCGTGACCCACGCGAAATCATGTTTTCTCAACCCGGTTTTAATGGACAGCCCACCATCCGGGCAGCTTCTAGGCTCCGTTCCAGAAGCAGCTATCGACCAGTTACCTCGGAAAAGACGGCCAGCTGGCAGTGTGGCTTGGGATACTGAGGATCACATCACTACGGCGCAGTGTGTGACTGCGGAATGACATGACGTAATACGTTGAAGCCCTTCAACCAAGCTGCCCGTTAGACTGACGTTGCTCTGTTGGGATCTCGCAAACAGGACCTTTGCAACTACCCGGGCATGCGAAGAACTGTGGTCCCAGGAGCCCTCCTGCTAACCCTCCATGCAACCTAAAAAAAAGATATCGGGGGACTATGGGGTCTCCAGCAGTTTTGTGCTTGCACAGAGGTGGTCAAACGCGTAGTTAAGGCAGGAGGCTATCAACTGGGCGCAATGGCGTAATGGCGCAAAATTCGGATTGAGGCAAGTACAAAAGGGAAGGCCGAAAAAATCTTCCTCGGTCCCACACACCGTATTCGCTGCCTCGGTGGTCATCTTCATGCATCTCGCCATATTTCGGGCGTGCCGCTGGAAAATCAGGCAGTTTGGGAGAGGCTTCAACGAGCAGCATCAGCTTCAGCATCCCCGATCACCTTCGTCACAGAGGCTTTCCACACGATCGGAACAAGATCCCGGTCGATGATCCCAGGATAGCCCCGTACATTCCTCTTCAGAGGTTTCCCAAATGTACCCGGCATCTTCGACGTCGATCACATTCTCGCGTCTATCAGCAGCGAGGCACTCCTCGTTTTACCCTTTTCCGTACCTGCCAACGCACACGTTTATCTCCTGTAGAGCATATTGCATATTTTCTCATATCATCGTCATTGGGGCTTTCCGGCGCGCTCAGCTGGTGAGACTCTACGGAGTCGCCTGTCTCTTACCATGGCAGGAATGACGGACACCGCGGGGATTCGAGTTTCGCGGGGAATTCTGGCTCACCGCTCGCGCAGCTTAACCACCTAACTACCGGTCACCCCCTTTCTCCCATCCACACCGGCGGAGACTACTTTTGTTCCACCCGATCCATTGGTTGTCATTTTTCCTATCGTCCATGAGCCTCGTACCCATGAGTCGTGCAGCTTGTCACGCACGCCGTAAGCACCGTCTGCGGAGACAAAGGCATTTAATTTCGTCTGATGAGTTGCCGTTTATTGCCAGCCTTTTTCCTCTTAGGCCTTTAAGTTATTTTTATTTATTTTCTCCATTTTCCACCATTTTCCTTTCGAAGGTTCGAAGTTTCCCTTCTGTCCATACCAGACATGCATCGCTTTCTTGCTTACCTCTGATCTCCCAGAAAAGTCCACTCAAGACAGACCATTTTTACCAGGACCCTTTTACTTTTAGCGCTCATCAAACTGTGTGCAATGTGACAACAGCATCGCACTTTATTTTGTGTTTTGATGACACTTTGAGCTCGATGAAAATGAACATAACCGTAGCATCATTTGCTTTCATTTTCGTCAGGTGTGACCTATCCAATCAACTTCATTTTTACTCAGCGAGTGCCATCCTCTCCCGACGGCCCGGCCTGCTCCACATAGCGGCACGCCTTTGTAAGGAATGTTTGTGGCCTTTCTAGTTGCACATCATTCTGTTTTATTTCATTAGCTGTCAGCTAAAATTTTATAAGCCTTTTTTCATAAAGCTTGTTGCAATTATGTTCGTTCATATTCATATCCATGTGTGCACTATGTTTACAAGTTCATAGTTTATAGGCTTTCTGCATAAGCTTGTTGCAATCATGTTCGTTCATATTCATATTCATGTGTGCACTAGGCTTTTACCAATTTTACACCGCCCAGTGATCTGAAACCACGTCCCGCGCACCAAAACTTCGTCCCATGTCCGCGTCCCAAACTCGCGCTCCGAGTCAGCAGAAGGATCGGCCCTCACCAGTAAGTCGATTGAGTTCTTCTCATAGATGGCCCTGGCCCGTGGAAAGACGAGTTTGCGAGCCGCCTCCTCGTCGATGTATTCGGCGACGTTGGGGACCGCCAGCAGGCAGGCACGCTGGGAACGAAACACAGGCCATTGAGTCAAACACAGGCGCCAGCTGTGCGAGACCAGGCCGGCCGTGAAAGGCATGAACCAAGGTCGTGCGAGTCATACACATGTCAATGGAAAACGGGTGAGAGACGGGATCCGGGGTTTAACATCACAGCGAATGAACGGGTGAAAGTTAAATGTGTTTGGCGCCGGTTGGGGCATTGCAGAAACAAAAACTAGGTCAGCAGCGCCAAATGAACGCTCGAGACGCAGGCTAAGTCCGTCGCACTAGGCACAGATCAGTACGGTATGGATCGCGGTCAGATGGGTACTGCATGGATTATGGGAAGATGAGTATGGCACGGAACGTGGCCAGATAGGTGCTGCACGGATCACGGTCAGATGGGTACTGCATGGATCATGGTCAGATGGGTGCTGCATGGATTGTGGTCAGATGCGTACTACAGGGATCATGGTCAGATGGATAAGGCATGGATCATGGTCAGATCAGCACGACATGGGCCTATGATGAGATCAGCACGGCTTCGCTTATGGTCAGACGGGCACGGCACATATCACGGCCAGATGAACATGGCATGGATCATGATCCGATGACCACGACATTCATCATGTTCAAATGAGCACGGCGTGAACCGTGGTCAGATGATCGTGGTCAGATCTCATGATCAGATCAGATGTCATCTCATGGCCGAATGTGGGGGTGGCATGGGTCCGTGTCAGGTAACCGAGTTACGGTCAGATGAATGGAGAGCAGGCTGCGCGCGGCCGATTGCGAACCTCTCCGGGGTGTGCATAGGACACCGTGTTAGGATCTGCAGGCCATGACTGGCGGTCTTCCCGCTGTCAACGCAGCGGCGGTGAGGGAGAGACACGGAGCGGCTCGGAGCGACACATCGGACACATCGGACACATCGGACACATCGGTTCGAGCGCCGCGGTGCCGTATTGGGTTTCCCATGTGATCAAAAGGCCGCGGCGACGCTTCGGTCAACGCCCCCCCCCCCCCCCGCCCAGAGTCGTACAGGATAGTAAATCAAGCGATACAGTTTTTAAAGATTTCGTTCGAACTTTGCACGCCTTTGATTTGATGGATTTCTGGCATCAGCGCGCAAACTGAGCTGTGCCTGTCACGTAAACTCTGACCTCCACCATCCCATTGCAAAATTCCGGATCGACGGCAAAATATTGCGGCGAAACTTGGCGCATCGCGCCATATTCAGCATGGTCCGCCCTACCCTCTGACACCATCTCACCTTAAGTACAGCCGCTGTTACCAGCCACGGGCCATTCCAGTCAGCGGCAAGCAGCGAGCGCCGAAAGCGACACGAACCCAACCCTAACCTAACCAGTCACCGATGGATGAAGCGGAAGGCAGGCGCTCATGCGTTACTGGGACAGAAAAACTGGAAGGACTTAACGGCGAAGCGCCACACCCTACTGCAAACGTCTACCTCAGGCTCTGGCGGTCCAGGACCTTTGAAAGGTCACAAAGGTCGTGACATCAGTCATAAGATGAGGAAGTTACGGGACCTGACAAAATATGGCAGGTTCCGAATACACTGAAGCAGCAATGGTAGATTATAAATTATGGCAGCCCCTGATAGCACCGCGCTTAGCCGTTGATAAAAGCGCAGCGTCTTTGTGGACCGCGCTTCTGCGATCGCGCTGCCGGCTTGCGCATTTTAGGCCTAACACGCTGCCTTGATATGACCTCGAACGCTGTTGCCAGGCGCCTGTTCGGGGGAAGCAAAATCGGAGCCCGTGGTGGACATTGGCCCGCTCGTGAGAGCCTCACCACCACACATTGGCCCACTGGAGCGGCTCTTGACGCGCGCCAGGGGCTGATCTGGGCCGACGAAGTGCCAGCGACACTGGGTGGATGGTGACTAGGCTAGGCGGTGACCCGCTGCCGCACGTGGCTGCCGGTAGGGCAGTCGACAGGAGCGTGAACGCGATGTCTGGGCCATCGCCGGTGCCGGCGTGCTCCAAACTGACCCGGCGAGTGATCCTGCAGTGAATCTGCCTGACCTGGCTGTCTGTTTGTCTGGCAGACACACCCAACGGTGGACCTGTCAGGCAGAAACAACAGACAACGGTGGACATGTCAGGCGGAAGCAGCTGATAACGGTGGACCTGTCAGGCGGGCCTGGCTGGCAGCTCACCTGGATCTGGGCGGTGTTGCTTTCCAGGGCGCTGTAGAGGATCGGCATCACGTCCGATTGGATTTCATCCTTTGGCGTCTTCTCCAGGATGATGTGCAGGTTCTCCAGCAGCGTCACAGAAGCCTGGATGGACTTGGGCCAGCAGAAAATACATCTGCGTTGAAGAGGAAAACTCGCCTGAGATTCAAACCATTGCGTCTGTTCGTACCTTGTTATCTCCGGGCATTTATCAGCAATGCCACCGATTTGACGTAATCAATTACAGCCTCTTGTCATCTTAATCTGGAGCCCAGGAGGGTGTATGGCCCGACCGATATCGCATTGCTTTCTCAGTGGCATTTGAAATTGGGCATTGCGACAGCCTGGACTGAGAGTATGGTGGCTGATGTAGACGGGGCACATCAGACGGCATTTGAAATGAACGCGTTGAGCGTAGGTAGAGAACGAAATGAACCGCCCAGAGTGTCATTTCTTTTAACAATTTGTAGTCGTGCAAGATAATGTTCACTGTCTCATATCTGAAGCTAGTAGGGACAAATGTCTCCGCTCACCACCTCCAGCCAAGAAGGCCAATGCTACTTAACCATCACTTGAAACATGCCCGGGGCATCGCTCTTTACCCCTCACCGGAGCCAGGCGGCACAGTGGTCTCGTGAAGATGGCGGCAGGACAAGACAATGGCGGTGTGTCTCTAACCTGAATCGGGGCAGGATGATGGTCTCGTACTCCTCCTGGCTGATCTCGCTTATGATGTAGAGGATGGGCTGCAGCACGGCCGCCAACACCTCCTGCGCCAGCATCTCCTCCCGCAGGCACGGCCACACGTGCTGGAACCACAGCTTCTGCGGGCGGCAGGCGGCGGCGGCGATGAGCGCGGGCTGCTGTGACGCGCGGCCATTACCACCGTGCCGGGGACGTCGGCTCTCAGCCGCCCGAGACGTCGGGTCTCAGCCGCAGGAGACGCCGGCTCTCAACCGCCGGAGACGTCGGGTCTCAGCCGCCGGAGACGCCGTCTCTCAGCCGCCGGAGACGTCGGCTCTCAGCCGCCGGAGACGCCGGCTCTCAGCCGCCGGAGACATCGGCTCTCAGCCACCGCCGCCGCCGCCGCCGCCAGGCGGTCGATGGCCGAGAAACAAATTGAAATTCGAGCAATTACCGGCGACACGGACGGCAGCGGCGGCTGCACTGCACCCCGAGCCTGGAGCCCCACGGTGGCGGCAGTTGCGGCGCGGCGCGGTGGCGTCTGTCCTGCTGGCCCTATATGGAGGGACTGGGGACGGACAGCGGCGGCCACTGCCCAGACCACCCCCCACCCCTCAGCAACAACTGGTCTGTGGTAGCCACTGCAGTCACGGCAAACGACTATAGCACCGCCTAGTTCCTGCTCGCGATGCTTCAGCTCACAAACTCCTGCTTCGGACTACCCGTCCGCATGACCCACGGCCGAGTGCTGGCAGCACAATTTGTGATGCCGATTAAACTCTGGAAAATTATGGCATTGCGCTGCATCAATAAGTCAGTGTCCAGCTTTCTGTCGTGAAGCCAGTGGTATAGCATCTCTCGAAAAATGGATGAGCTGACGTCGATACAGAAAAACGTCAATATGCCTTAGCGAGAAAAAGCACTTTTCATGTTTTGACAAAGCAATGCTCTTCCAAACTGCGGTGTTCCCGTTTGGCAGGCCATGTTGATGGCGTGTATACGCCATGTTGATGGCGTAGATAAGACCTAAAGCGGATTTTTCAGCATGGCAGAATTTTAAAGGGAGCGTTGCACACTTGAAAACATCGAAGCAGGTACCAGATATGATGAAGTAAGGTCACTTATAACTACTAGTATGCTTTGAAGTGGAAAAGACTGCTCTAGACAAGACAATTTTTCTGTTCAGTAAATATGATCCTTAATACGCCATTGTTTGATTACGTCATCGTACCTTGCAAAACACTGAGAGCCAATTAGCGGCTGTTATATCTGGCAATCTGCTCACGAATGCTGTGCAAGGTACGATGGCGTTATCAAACCATGACGCATCGAGGAGCATATTTCCTAAACAGAGAATTGTGCTGTCTGGAGTAGTCTTTTCCACTTAAGTGAGCTCGTTTCATCATATATGATGCTTGCCTCAACATCTCCAAATGCCAAATATTCCCTTTAAGAACGACAGGGCTGTAGCCTGCACCGAATGATCTTTAAGGCGGGTATTTCGGTTCAAAACTCCATAAAATATGAATCACTCCCTTTAACCTAGCTTGCAGTTTGTCCGGGGGTATTTCCTGTCCGACGTGTCGACTGCTTAGAGCGATATCCTCCAGATGGAATGATGACAGCATTCGATGTCAGCGTGAGGGACGCATGTTGCGACACTCTTTACTTAAATCGCCGGTCGAGGGAAAAAAACATTCATAGCCATTTTGGGGCTATTTCTTCGAGATCAAGAGGGCTTACGTTTTGGTATCAGGTCAGGAATAAATAATTGGTAGAGGAAGAGCATAATATTGAGACAGCATTTCGGGATCATAATACTGGGACAACACCAGTAATAATGTGGGAGGATGCGAACATGGTGATGTTCTTTGGGGACGATTCTGCATCCAGCACTCAAGACAGAGCATTTGTTGATGGCCTGTGTTATATTCGTGGGAAAGCCAGAACACATGAATTGGAGTGAATGATGTCGTCGGCTTTACTTTAGACAGAATGATGCTATCTTCTACGCCATACCCTCCCGAAAAATTGTACGCAGTTTGCTCTTTTCGAGTAGGGTACGGCATATAAAGATAAGGTTTTTTTATTTGCACGATACCATTAGTGGCTACTAGTACGATTTATTTACTCCTATATTTGGAGGCTTTCGAGAGCAAACGCTAAAAACCAAGCCCATACGGGCCATTACGTTCTTACGCCGGCCACTGCGGGCACGCGGCGCCTAAAGCGCTGCCATCGATCCGGCCTCAATCAAGGATGTTATCAGAGACCACACAAAACCAGTCACAGCCGATACGGGCGACATCCTGTTCTGGACCTGACATCTGTCGGAGAGTGTACTGAGCCAGCCCCACCATACGGGCGACATCCTGTTCTGGACCTGACATCTGTCGGAGAGTGTACTGAGCCAGCCCCACCATACGCGAAAGATCGCGTCCATGGCGAATTAAAGTGTTGGGATGCAACATGCGCAGTTGCAGCACCACCTTCAGATTCAGATGGCATCCTTCCCTTTCCCAGTCCACCACTCTGGACGTTACAATATTCATGCAAATTTGCTCCTTGGCATGCATTCTACCCATACGACCATCGGTTAGCAGAGTGATGTAACACTTACCACGCGCTCGGATGAAGGGGGTCAGGTTGACCCCCACCCCCTCCCCCCCCCAAAGGTTTTTTAAGAATAATTTACGAGCGGCAGGGTGTAGCCGCGCAAAACTTTGCATAGCTGTAGAGAATTGAATAGCAGATCCTTTGGGGTCAAAAATTATGTGTACCGTGTAAGACCGCAGACCTTCTGTAGGACCAAACCAGGCCATAGCTGTCAGCGAATTACATTTCTGAGGAATCGTTCAATGTGGTGCAACAACAGAGTGCTATACTAAGCCATATCTATTTGAGACAGTTTCTCATGCAACATACCAATTTAATTTAGAATTACATCAATTCCATCATCCTAGGGTCAGGTATAACGGTCAGAGCGCCATTAAAACCAACTTGCTTTTTCCCGAAAGCTTGGTTCTATGCAGTAGTTTCTAGTGCTCATTTCCGATTTATTAACAACAGGGATGTAATGAAAAATAATAACGACAACGCAATAACCATGCTCCATGAACTTCTTAAATTTTAGAGTAGGTAGCTGACTTAAAATGACCCAGGTCAGCGTTTGTTTTTTAGAAACATACCACCTAACGTAATCCCTGACGCTTATTCGAACGCCAAATAGGAGTGATCTCATTGGTATTTGGTCACTTTGACCACATAAAGGTCAAACAAGGTAACTAACCTCATTGGCCAGTTGCTCAGAGCATGTATGTAGCTTCACGGTGGTTGTATGCGGCATTCGGGGGGGGGGGAGGCACTTGACACTAATCTGGAGAGGTTGACCTTTTTGACATTATTTGACCCAGGGTCGTGACGTGAAAATCTCATATATTGACACAAGTGATTTTGCGCAAGGCAAATCTACCCCGAAAAATTTGGAGTCTTACACTATCTTAACTTTTGAAATCTTAGGGGGTCAAATTACCCCTCTCACCCGAGCAAAGGGCATTCAATCGGCCATCTGGGCGCGTGTTTAGGTGCAGTGACACTGTGCCATCAAGGCAAAACAGATAATTGACAATGCGTACGGTGTTGGACATTTGTTGGGATGGCATGCGCTTGCAGCAACAGTTCTACTTACAATTCAGTTATAATTCCATTACAGCGATAGAGCGAGACCACCATACAACATACGCTACGGATTTGTGCCACACGTGTAGATAGCCTGGTGAATACGCGTTAGACGCATTGTCAGAACAAATCCCTATCCACCAAGCCATGAAATGTCAGCTTGAAGAACAGCCTGGCACTTGTCTGTCCTGACATTTCATATAACCTTAAGTCCTGTCCTTTCCTGTCCTGTCTTAAGTCCCTGTCCTGTCCTTTTTTATCATTATGCAATGTTCGTGGCGAGAATGAACGCAAGCTTTCGTTTGACACCAGATTCCAACGCATGTGATTTTTGTCGCCGATGCTAGAAGACGCTGAAATCCTCCCAGGGTGCACGCAGCGTGTAAGGCACTTTGCCTGACCTGTGATATTACCAGTCACCTCAGAAACTCAGGGTGATGTGTACGGGATGGGCGTGATCAGGGCTATAGATTGCCCCATGTACTGTCCCTGATACGACCATCACATCCTGAGACCGCACGCGGTTGCAAGTGTGGCGGTCAAGTCAGTGAAGTTGGCAGAAAATCGCGGGCGGTACCAAGTTAACGGACAGTATCATATGCCCAGTTCTCAACTCAACCTTACCACATTCGCACCCTACGCGGAACACACTAATCGCACTCTTGCGTTCAGAGAAATACAATCAACACGGTTCAGCACGAATTTGCGACGCTGCCAGACACCATCCAGACGCAAACCGATTACAGTCCGCCGTAATACGCCCTGTGTCGCTGATGTGCAGGAATGCGCTGCTCCAGCGGCCCCGGGGGACGCCGCGACGCCACGGAGGATCACGGTCGGACCGTCTGACCCCGCCACCCTCGGCCGCCGAGACAGTCTTGGCCCATCAGCGTCAAGGGCCCCGCGCCGCAGCCCCCACGGCGCCTGCCGGGGCCGTCTCAGTTCAGGCGGTACCTCCCGGAGCCGGCTCTGTCCAGGCGGCACGCGTGGCGTTCTCACGACGCGCGTCTGCTGATGAAGAGAGAGAGAGATGAGAGAGATGAGATGATGGAGAGAGAGCGGACGAGGAGAATTGAAGAGGAGGAGCGAGGAGAGAGGAGGAGAGAGAGATAGAGGAGAGAGGAGGAGAGTAGAGAGAGAGAGAGAGACGATGAGAGAGAAGATGAGAGGAGAGACGAGAGACAAGCACGAGAGAGAGAGGAGAGGTTGAGAGAGATGAGAGCGAGAGAGAGAGAAGAGAGAGGAGGTGCGTAGGATGGAGGCGCTGCACGGACGATGCAGACGTACCAACACCAGCAGCGTATGAGGAATAACAAACTGGTGATCTGTTTCCAGCAACCGTCTTTCTGGTACCTTCACATTGAACATGCATTCGCACGTCCGTGCAATTAAGTGAGCCAATCAGCATAGCCGGTCGCCGAACGGCTAAGAGATCAGGTCGCTTGGCTGAGCTTGACCAGCA